CAATGCTATTAACCGACCATCCGACGGCTGCCTCAACCCACATATCGTAGATACCAGGCTCTTCCAGGCCTCACACCCCCAACCAGTAGGTTACAGGGTGGCGCGACCCACCCCAGCTCCGACCCGTGTCGTCCTAATACCAGCTCACGATTAGCCACTGGACTGTCTTCCACCCTCGGCAGTTCCCCAGATCTCTCTACCAGGCCTCTAACCCCCACATACTCAGGTTACAGGGCACCGCTGCCTAGGATGCTAGTTTTTACGAACTAGCATTTTTTTTCGGAGTGTGGCCCACAGAATGGACACGATGTGGGCACCAGTAGCAGCAACAAGACAAAAATGTGTGCGTTTGCCAACTTTGCCTCGAGCAGTTTTAGCCATGCAGAATGTTGTGCTTCATTTTTTAAGTCGCTTTCTTGAACAGATCAGCACTCAATCTGTGTCCCTGATTTGTTTCAGATTGTCCGTAAAATATTCTCCTCAGTGAGCAGGGAAAATTGCCAAAGAAGGCACACTCAACGTTTTGCCGAAAACCGCAGACCACCTACGGCTGACCCCCCGGCCCACCCGGTTGTCAGCTGCGGGCACAAAGCTGCACATTTTTGAGGCGTCCGGGGTCTGAACCGCCATTGCCTCCACACCTATTTGGTGAACCTATTTGTTTTCGTGACCTTGGACCACTGAACCTCTTTGTTTTGGGCCTACCCAGGTTACAGTAAGGGCCAAACTTGCCGCAAGAGTATGCGCACATTTGGTCTGCGGAATATTTTTTGCTGTCCAGAATTTCGTTTTTCAGACTTTTTCTAGTGTTTTCCCTCAAAGGTCAGGATTTAATCAGACTTTCTTTGGCAAAACTATGAGCATGGATAAATTGGCATAAGTTGGTGCACTAAGAGTTTTCAGCAAAAAAACTATGAGCACAGGAAATTGCGGCCACCGCCACCCGCGCCCCCACCCTCCCCCCAAACGACCAGTAGGCTGACCCTTCCCGAGTCAAGCGTGTACAGCATCGACTGACGTTGGAAGCAGTGGAAACACTAGCAGAACTTACTTACCCCTGAAAAAAATGGCGCTGTACAATTGGGCTGCAATTAGAGTTGGTGTAGCGCATGGCGGAGGGTTGAAATGGGTACCCTTTTGAGACAGTGCTTCTCCTGATGGGAAAAATGAAGGTGAAGATGGGAAGAGACCATGGGGCCAAGTGACACTTCAACGGCATGCTGTTTTGACCTGGACCCTTTGTTGGCTGTCCTCTTCTTCCTCTCTGCCTACGGTTTACCGGGCAGTTCTGTTTGGAGATATATCATATACATATATATAGGGTTCAGCTTCCTGATGAGTTGGTGAAACTACGCCAAAAGAGTTTGTCACAGCCCCTTGTTTGTTGTCCTCTTCTCCCTCTTTGCCTACGGTTTACTGGTCAGCTCTGTTTGACGATGTATGGCTCGTGTACCTTTTTAGGTAATGCATCTACGGGTACGTTCTGATGGTTCGCTTCGCATGAGCGTGTTTGATAAAGCGGCTGCTTGGGATTTCCCTGTTATTCGCTATCCAAGTGCTACCTCCAACATCCCTTCCCATCAACCGGCAGGTGTGTTCACTGGGCAATTGACCAGATTTGAACGCATCTGCAATAATTGGCRGGACTTCCGAACTGCAGCGACAACACTCACTCGTCGCATGCTTTCTCGTGGCCATTCCCCACCAACCSTCGCTAAAGGATGGACCTGCTAYACACGCTCCCGCCAACGTCGCTATCCTACACAYGTCACCCTTCTCTCTCAGTGGTTCCGACGCATGCTGCGATGGTCCTTGCATCACCCACTTTCTTCTTTATCCCCACATCGCGCTCGTCCTGTCACTGCTTGTTCATCTGCTGCTAATGCAGTTCCCACTGTTGTGGTTCCCACCGCCGTCGCTTCCACCGCTGTGGTCTCCACTGCTGCAGTTTCTACTGCTGCTGTTTCAACTCCGGGTTTCACTCCAGCAGTTTCTGCTACGGAAGTTGCCTCCGCTGCTCGTCCTGTCACTGCTTGTTCATCTGCTGCTAATGCAGTTCCCACTGTTGCGGTTCCCACTGCCACCGCTTCCACCGCTGTGGTCTCCACTGCTGCAGTTTCTACTRCTGCTGCCGCTGTGGTCTCCACGGCTGCAGTTTCTACTGCTGCTGTTTCAACTCCGGGTTTCACTCCAGCAGTTTCTGCTACGGAAGTTGCCTCCGCTGCGGTCCCTGCTACGGAAGTTGCCTCTGCTGCGGTTCCTACTACAACAGTTGTCTCTGCTGCGGTTCCACTTTTTACCACTTCCTCTGCTTCTGTACCTCGAATTTCTCATGCTATAGTTTTTACTGGTATAGCTTCCTCTACCCCAGCCCGACACTCGCGTCCTATATTCTGACATCTTGACGAATCCACCCCCCTTTCATCCCTCTGTGCTTGGCCGCAGACGGCTGCGTTCCTCCTCGCCACCCCCATCTCCTCCATGGTCTCGTTTGAGAACCGATTCTCCGGTTTGTATTCTTCCCATTTTTCCGCCTTCATTGCCAGTGACATCTTCTGTTAGAAACATCGCCACTCCTCTTATTGTGTATCATCGTCGACGAGATGCACAACATCGCCACTTGGCCAGGGATCAGCGGCCTGCTTCTTTGTCTACCCCAATTCTCTCTGTGCCTCCTGCATGGGTTGTTGCGGTTCCGTTGTCCCAAACGGATACATCCGCTCCTATGCCTCCTGCAGACAGTCCAGCTGCTTGCACACAGCCATGGCACCATGTTTTATGCCCTTCCATGTTTGTTTGTCCCCCAGCTGTGCAACAGGATATGGTCCCTGCCCAGAGTACACTCCCAACGACAGTCCCTACTCACGATGTGGCCCCGAACGCTGAGGGCCTGGGACATGATCAGCTCGGACTGCATTTAACCC